GTTGTTTGGCAGGTCTGGGCTGGGGATTCGAACCTGCCACCTTAGGTATACATGGCTGGCGCCTTAGCCGGTTGAGCTATAGGTGCCGAGCCAACAGCTCAAGATTTGAAAACAAGGGTGGCTCAAGGAGTAGGGCACCAGCCCCATATACTGGGGGAGGAGGGTTCAAGCCTGGCCTAGCCAAAACTGCAAAAAAAAAAAATTGGAAAACAAGGCAGCTCCTGTAGCTCAGTGGCTAGGGCACTAGCCACATGCTGCAGGTTTGAATCGGCCCAGGCTAGCTAAACAACAGTGACAACTGCAACAAAAAAATAGACGGGCGTTGTGGCGGGCGCCTGTTGTCCTAGGCACTTGGGAGGCTAAGGCAAGAGAATCGCTTAAGCCTAAGACTTTGAGGTTGCTGTGAGCTGTGACTCTACGGTACTCTACCAAGGGCCACATAGTGAGACTCTGTCTCAAAAAAAGCCTGTGACTCAGTGAGTAGTGCTCCAGCCCCATATGCCAAGGGTGTTGGGTATGAGCCCAGCCCCTGCCAAACTGCAACAAAAAAATTGCAGTTTGGGCATTGTGGCTGGCGCCTGTGGTCCCAGCTGTTTGGGAGGCAGAGGCAGGAGAATCGCCTAAGCCCAAGAGCTGGAGGTTGCTGTGAGCTGTGACACTACAACACTTTACTGAGGGCAACAAAGTGAGAATCTGTCTCAAAAAAAAAAAAAACAGAAAAGAAAAAGAAAAAAAATGGAAAACAATAAAACCGGCTGTACAGATTTATAGTTCAAAGGGAATGATGGCCTGTGGTTCCCCTATTTAAATACTTTGAGTGCTTTTGTGCCTGTTAGGTGCTGAGGGTTGGGGTTTTGGTTTCCATCTCTGTCATTAAGGAACACTGGGCAGTTTTGTTTTTCTCCTCATTAGACTGAGTCTTACTTTGTTACCTTGAGTAGAGTTCACTGGCATCACGGCTCACAGCAACCTCAAACTCTTGGGCTCAAGGGATCCTCAGCCTCTTGAATAGCTGAGACTACAGGCCCCTGCCATAATGCCTAGCTGTTTTTAAGAGATAGGGTCTCACTCTTGCTCAGACTGGTCTTGAACTCAGGAACTCCAGAGATCCACTTGCCTTGGCATCCCAGAGTGCTAGGATTACAGGGGTTAGACACCATACCTGGCCTAGGGTTGTTTATTTACAGCCTCTCAGGTCCTGACTTCTCTCCTTAAGATGAGGCTGTTGAAGTATACAGAGCAGACCTCAGCAAACCACCACCTGCAGACCAAACCCAGTTGGCATGATTTTTACATTAATAAATGGCTAAGAAAAATAGAGTATTTTATAACTTGTGAAAATTACATGAAAATGAAATTTCATTGTCCATAAATAAGGTTATTTGTTGTTGTTGTTTATTTTTAGGACAGGGTCTTGCTCTGTTACCCAGGCTTGAGTGCAGTAGTGTCATTATAGCTCACTGTAACCTTAAACTGGTGGGCTCAAGTGATTCTCCCACTCAGTCTCCTGTGTAGCTAGGGTTGCAAGTATGTGCTCCTACACCCAGCTAATTTATTTTTATTTTACTTTTTTTTATAGAAACAGGTTCTCACTCTCTTCCCCAGTGTGGTCTTCAACTCCTGACCTCAAGTGATCCTC